TGATTTCAAAAATAAAAGTTCTAGGAGCCCTAGTGTCTAACTAAGGAATAGTTTTGGTGTCAGTGTGCTGAATTCTGATTAACAGTCCTAGTCATGTTTTGGAGTAATTATTCCAGAGGTCTTCTAGTGTTATACCTTTTTAAATATGAAATTAATAAATCAGAAAAATGAAGATTTCCCCTCGTTTTGTACCCCTTCCCCCAACAATTTAGTGAAGGCTATAAACAGATTTATTTTTTCCTCTCTAGAATATGGAACAAGTAGAAAAACTTTTCATGAAAATAGACTATGAAGCAGTGGGCAGAATTCCGTGGTTAAGTTGGGTTATGTTTTGTGAGTCAAGTTTGAAGTTAGTAAGGAATGTACATAACTTATGTAGTTATGAGCCTGTTCCTTTCTAGAATACTCTTGGCCCCCTGGTACATTTGCCAACTTGAATTTGTACCAAGGAGACATGCTTGCTCACAGTTTTCAAATTCTAGTAATGTCAGGCTATACTTGGAGTAGTTTAACTAGAAATTTTAGTAGCTAAGGCAAATTGCAAGAAGGGTATTCCTAAAACCAAGGACTGAAGAACACGTCCATCACTTTACCCACAAGCAAAAGAGAAAGACCAGTGAGAAAGAAACCCCATGGGCAGATGACACCTGGTGATAATCAAATCCGTGAACACATGTAAAGTGTTTACAGCAAGGCCTGTCACAGAATAAATTCTCAACAAATATTATTATCATCATTATTAGTATTACCCAGTCTGGGTGGTGTAATAATGAGGAGCTGAGACATCTGCTTTTAACAGTCTCAGCCATTGTGTCTGTTAACGTTCTTCCATTGTTCTAGGGTGAATTACGTCCTAAAATGACAAGGCGAACAGTAAGATACTTCTATTCAGTCAATTCCCCAACCAAGTCAAATACAAGTGCTCTCATTGCTATCTGATTTGAAAAGGAACATTCAGGATTCCAGGGAAGGGAAGGGAGTCTCCAGCTACATAGGGCTTTGAGGGAACTGGAGAGGAAATGAAGATTTCCCAGGCCCAAAGTATTGCCCACCCCTGCCCTCTGACCTCAGAGTTCTTTTCCATAGGTACACTGCTGGATTCTAAATAAGGCATATATCCTGGTGGGTAGGAACTGTGCAGTCAGACCAATGAGGACTCAAGTCTCTGGCCAGCCACTTACTGGTTGTTCAATCTTAGGCAAGTTATTTAACCTCTCTAAGCCTGAATTTCCCAATTTGTAAAATAAGGTGAACAGTAGAACTTACCCCCTACGGTTATTGTGAGAGTTGAGATGAAGGTCCGTGTTGCATGCAACATGGTATGCACAACAATCATCATCACCAGCATCATCCTCATCTTTAGAGAAAGAGACTGGCAGGGGAAGTAAGACCAGCAGTTGGGTAACAACCTTCCAGGCCCAACTAAGCAGACACACCCAGTTATTACCCCCAAGTTTTTGGTAACCAAACTCATGTGCTAATAATTATATCACATCCAAGAAAGGAGTTGTCCATGCCCTGATGACAGAGAAATTTTGAAAGCCAGAAAGACAGTGGATGTTGAATAAATTGTCCTTTATTCTGCAGGATGACTTCTGTACATACCTGCAGCTACAGTATTTGGAGCAAGCTAATGCTTTGGCCTGACAGAAAGAGGTTTTCTTTCTGCTGCCTGCTGTGCTGCAGAGGCTGTCATATGGGGGTCCCATGCTGCGCATTCTCTCTATGCCTGATGACACCTTAATCATGATCAGAGAAGATGGAGCTATTTATTTTTGGTCCCTGCAGCTGAAGTTGAAAAGAAGAAAGCGGGTTTTTGTATGTGATTTTCATTTGATAAGGATGCTGAGTGCTACAGTTTGATTTTATTTGCTATTTTAAACTGCTCCTTAAGTGGCGTGATTACATAAATTGTGTCCTTGAATATAATATATTCATGTTGGATTTCGCTAGTCTATGGAATGCAAATAAAATATGATCTCTGTATGTCGTACAGACAATGCTTCATTTTGCTTCTAAAATCAGATGGAGTGATGAATTACACATGATTCTATCATGTAATTTATCATATGTCTTAATGAAGGATAAATGGAAAAGAATTTTCCTTTCATTTCCCCTGTTAATGGTTATATCAGTTTAGGTAGCTATGCTAGGGTTTCTCTTTAGAGAACTTACTAAATCACATAAGTACTAAATTCTGAAGGCAAAAAGCATTTGGCAAGTACTCTTGGGAATAACAATGCCTGACCCATTTCAGGATATATTCTACACATATCTCTAAAGTTATTCTTTTATTATCTCATTCAATAAATAGCTGAGCCCCTGTCATAGTCCCGGCTCTGTGCTGGGTGCTGGGAATACTGAAACTCAATCTGTTCTCAGGAAATTTACAATCTGCACTGGAAGCTACAGCTGTCCTCGACCCCACAGGCTGCAGAATAAGCCCTCCTGAGAGAGGGTAAATTTGGTTCTTCCAATCTACGTAACAAGTTCTTTCTACTTGAAGGAGAAAATAAACTAAGGAAAACTTTATTTTTTTTTATTTTTTTCATTAAATTTTTATTTTGTCAATATACAATGTATATGATTATTAT